ATTTGAAGGCGACACCACGACCCAAGAACTTGTGTCCGGAGATGAGGATTTCTGGCTCGGGATGTTGGGCAGCGCTTCTGAAGAAGTGGCTGGAGCGGGCGAGACTTCCGGTCTAGAATTGATTTTTGCAACCGGAAAAGAGGATGGTCTCGAAGCCCTTCTTGCTGGTGATGCCTCGAATTCACATGATCAAACGAATGCGGTCTTTGATGTTTTGGAAGAGGATGATGTGCGGGGTTTGGATTCGTTGGACGATTTCCCCGACTTGCGTGGTTCGTCCTCTCATTGGGCCGGAACATCAACTGAATCTGGTGGAGACAAAGGAGCATTTCAAGCGGTATTGAGCCTTGCGTCTTCTCCCCGTCTTGATGAGGGCGTGAATCGCCTTCGAGCTAACACCGCCGAGGTAGACTTTAGTGTTTCTTTTTGTCTACACTCGCATTGCCCATCCAATCAGGTTTTCTAATGACTTTGCTTGCATTTTGTATAGGCATCCTTTGAAGCGGATCAACTGCGAGAGACTCTGAAGTCATTGCGCGAAGGTCTGAAAATAGCTGATCGATTGATAACTTCTTCCGAGGCCGGTTTTTCAGAACAATTAAAAGCAGCTCAAGAGCTTCATAACGGGGAAAAAGCTCTACTTGAGGAACGGTGCGCCGCTTTGGAAAGAAAATGTGCCTCTCTTGTGACTAAATTGACAGCAAGCAAGGATGCGGAGGCCCGAGCTGTTGAGTGTCTTATGGAGTTTCACTCAAATCCTCGCTTCGATCCGTTTGATTACAATGTGGACTTGGCTGTGCAAGCTGCAAAGCTGGCGGGAATGGAACAATTGTTGTCCGAGCGAGACGCTTCCCTTGCGGCCATGACACAAGAATTGGCCTCAACTAAACTTGCGCTTGAGGAGGTATGCCTTTGGCCCGTTTTGCCTCATGATATCCCTTTCAATTCTTGTATTTTTCGCCTCATTTCCTAATTTGTGACTGATCATCACTTCATTTTTATGTAGGCACGTGCGAACTCGACTAATCCCATACGAGGTCCGGTTGCAAGCCATTTTGCTATGGAAGATGTTCGGTCTCTCCTAGCCGTGGAACGAAGGCACGGTCAAGCGGAAGGCCAATGCAGTTTGGCTCGGATTGCCGCAGGGGATGGGATTAGTGTTGAGAAGTTACGGGATTGGCATTCGGCGTGCTCGGCTCACCCGAACTTAAGGAGATTTCACCCTTGGTTCCCCTTCAGCTTGGAGGAAA